GAAGAGTCAAAGACTAGAGCAAAAAAAAAATTGTGATAGTGTGTAGAAGAGAATCGGGCTGATAATGTGTTGAGAATGTTTAGAAAGACACAAGAGTAATAGTAAGTCATACACACACACGAGTAGTAGTAAGTTATACACACAAGAGGGTTTCTAAGGAGAGAGAGCTTCACACACACAAAAATCTATTGATCTGGTTGTATCTCGTACACAAGAAGAGAGAAGATAAGAGGATGAACAGTACTTCTCCACTAGACTCTAAATACTGTAGCTACAGTAATTACTGTAGTCTACATTAAATATTATGGAGAGCGTAGGCTACATTTAATGATCTCAACTTTTGATCAGTCTGTTGCTGGTTATGTAGTGTTGATGCTTGTGAATATTAAATAATTTAAACATCCCGAAAAGCCGTCTAGATACAGGGAGTGTGATGAAGACTGCCCCTGAATTCTGTTGGATACTAATGAAGATCTGCTTGATCCTGGCGATGTAGGGATGATGTTAATGATATTGAAGAAATTGTGGACCCAAAAGGTGTCTCTCCGTACCGAGAAGCTCCCGAAGGCTGCCAATAAATTTACTTGATTCCTTTTGATAATTATTCTGTCCATTCCGATGTTGTGATGATGTAAGTGAAATTGAAACAAATGGGCACCCCAAACCTGGTGTCTCAGTACCGAGAGGATCCCAAAGGTTGCCCATGAGATTAGTTGGGTCATTATGATGATTAGTCTATTGATGATTTGAAAGTAAACCATATATGGTCAGTTCGAGGAGGCCTCTCGGTACCGAGAGGCTCCCCATGACTGCCTTAAAATTTACTTAATATCTTTCGATGATCCGGCTGTTGCTCGTGAGGTTGTGGTGGTGGTTGTAGAAATATATAATTATTTGCACCCCATGGAAGCCTCTCGGTACCGAGAGAATCTTTAATGCTGCCCATGAATTTTGTTCATTCCTATTAATGATCAGTCTATTGCTTGTTATGTAGTGTTGATGCTTGTGAAAATTTAATAATTTGAACACCCCGAAAGGTCGTCTCGGTACCGAGAGTTTGCTGAAGCCTGCCCTTGAATTCTGTTGGATACTATTGAAGATCTGTCTGATCCTGGCGATGATGTGATGATGTTAATGATATTAAAGATATTTGAAACCCAAAAGGGGCCTCTCGGTACCGAGAGGCTCCAAAAGGCTGCCAATATATTTAGTTGGTTCTTTTTGATGAATATTCTGTCCGTATCGATGTTGTGATGATGTATGTGAAATTCAAAAAAATGGGCACCCCAGAGGCGTGTCTCGGTAGCAAGAGGAACCCAAAGGCTGCCCCTGAGATAAGTTGATTCATTAAGATGGTTATTCTGTTGCTCGTAATATTGTGCTAATAATTGTGACAGTAAAGGAAATATGGGCAGTTCGAGGGGGCCTCTCGGCACCTAGAGGCTCCCAAAGACTGCCTATGAATTTCATTAAGTCCTTTTGATGATCCATCTGTTGCTCGTAAGGTTGTGGTGTTGGTTGTAGAAATTTTTCATAAATGGCACCCTATGGAAGCCTCTCGGTACCGAGAAGCTCCTTAAGACTGAATTATGTTCAATATTCTTAATGATCAGTCTGTTGCTCGTTATGTAGGATTTATGCTTGTGAAAATTTAGCAATATGAATATCCCGAAAGGTCGTCTTGGTACCAAGAGTCCGCTGAAGACTGCCCTTGAATTCTGTTGATTACTATTGAAGATCTGTCTGATCCTGGCGATTTAGTGATGATGTTAATGAAATTGAAAAAATTGAGAACCCGAAAGGTGTCTCTCGGTACTGAGAGGTTCCCAGAGGCTGCCCTTGAATTTGGTTGTTTTTCATTATTAGTCTGTTTCTCGTGATGTCGTTGATGTTAGTGAAAGTATAATATACACTGGCATCCCGAGAGGCTCCCTGTGGCAGCCCATAAATTCTGATGATTCCTTTTGTGGATCCGTCTGTTACTCGAGATGTAGTATTGATGCTTCTGAAATTATATGATATGTGCACCATAGGTGTACCTCTCGGCACCGGTGTCACCTGAAAGCTGCCCTTGAATTTGGTTGAATCATATTATTGATCTGGCTGTTGCTCGTGATGTAGTGATAGGCTGCCATTGAATTTTGTTAAATCTTTCTGTGTGTTGCTAGCTATGAAGTGATGATGTTGGTGAAATTTAATATAAATGGGTACCTCATGGGGGTCTCTCGGTACCGACAGGCTAGCAAAGTTGCGCTTGAAATTTGTATTTTCTTATTGATGATTTGTCAGTTGCTCGTGGTGAAGAGTTGATGCTATTGATCGTAAAGGAAATATGTACACCCCAAGGAGGCCTCTCGGTAGCGAGAGGCTACCTAAGGCCGCCAATGAATTTTGTTGATTTCCTTTCTTGATCAGTCTCTTGCTCGTGTCGTAGCATTGATGCTTGTGAAAATAAAGAGAATTGGGTATCGCAAGGGGCTTCTCGGTATCGAGAGGCTCTCGAAAGCTGTGCGTGAATTTTATAGATTTCTAATCATGATTAGCCTACTGCTCGCCATGTGGCGATGTAGCCAGTAATGTTAAACAAATGGGAACCAGGTGAAGAACAAAGAATGTTGCGCCTTGCTCTCGTTCGAGTCCGCCGAAATGGACCATCCACTTCAGTCAGGTTACGCAACATTTGCGAGTTTCTCAATTGTTCCAATATCTGCAATGTGGATAGACTATGCTCATCCAAAAGATAGTCCACAGCATCTTGTTTCCACTGCTCCTTCCACTCTGAAAGATCCATCTGGACTGCAATTCGACTATCAATGTCGGCATTACCACGATGATCTGTAATCAATTTCCCCTCTTTGTTCCATACGAGGCCTTGAGGATGCTGACCAAATTGGAATCGATTGTTCTGTGAATCCCAATATCTATCCAAAGTTTGGTAGAAGAAATTCCGCTTCCCCTGGTCAGCTGGAGCCGATCCAATGATCTTTTTACACACCCTGACAATCTCTTCGTGGTTGTGCTCCCACCCAAACTTTGCACTGATATCGTTTTTGAAGATCGAATGTGTGTTGGCACGCCAACTCCAAATTAAATCTTCACCCCATTGATTGCGGTAACCTTCACCAGGCGTGTTCACTGGATCTCTCTCATGGCTTGGTGGCATATATGGAGTGAGTCCAAATACCTCGTAAAGGCGTTCGTGGAAGGGAGATTTGCAGCATGGGCAAAATTTTCTAACCAAAAACATACCAATAAAACACATCGGATGGAACATGCATTGGCATGATCCAAGTGCCCATCCGCCCTCGGGGCCAAATGGATTGTAACACACTGCGCATTTCGTTCCATCTAACACCCATGGTGCAGGATTTGGCCAAAGTTTTCTGCCTTAAACTTCTGGCCTCATTTGGAGATCATGGCACGACATGGCATTGGCGTGATCAAAATCCAACTTTGCCCAATCAATCTTAGATGGATCACTAGCTTGCATTGGCAATTCAGATGGAAACAAATCATCTGAATTGGCCCAAGAGGTGAGCCCAAAATCCCTCCGCACATTGTGTTGCAAGTATTCATTGTCCACCTTTTTGAACTCCATCGCCATCTGGCGGCCACGATCGACACTGAGAATGGTTGCCACCTTCCACTGGTAGTATGTTTCAGACAAGGCTGAAACACGAAGGCGCAATGCATCATTTGCATTTCTCAATGCATTCACTTCCTCCATTCTTGCGTTGGTCAAAAATGACAATGAATCTTCACTATGTGGACCATCAATGTCCACATACTATCGTGCTAATGGGCCTAGTGGAGGAAAAACGATTGGAACATGTCGTCGTTTAGCTGGTGTGTGAATCTCTTCTAACACGCCAGCCGTTGCAACATCAACCACATTGTTGATGATGTTGTCATCCACCTCCATGGGATCATCAACCACGACTGGTTGATTCACTCAGACTTGGTGCATTTGTTTCCCTTGTTGCAACTCATTGCGCAAATTGGAGATTAGTGTATCCTTCATCGCCGTTTCCAACATGAGATTTTGGATGGTCTCTTGCAATTGCGCGATGAGACCATCCTTTTCTGCAAGTTCACTTCGCAACTTATCCATCTCATTGATTTGGTCGCCTCACACGGCAAATGGCACACCATCAACTATGGTAGGTCTAATTTCGACCACCACTGGATGCCCCTCCACAATATCTTCTTCGACGTCTGCGATGGCTTCCATTGTCACTTGATTCTCTCCAATATTGTCCACGGTGTCTACGTGTTGATCAACACGTTGTGGTGCAATGTTCACCGCCACACGATTTGCTTCCAGTACAGTCCTAGTGGCCTCTACTGCAGCTCCACGTGGCACTCTTCGCACGCGAGTACCATCAGAATCAGAGCCTGGTTCTGTTTCATCTGTCTCGTATTCTTTATCGCTTGGCTTCACCTTTAGAATTCTTCTCAAGCCACCATCAGGGGATGTCCTCCGCCTTGGAATGTCTGGCTCCGTCAGCATGGTAATACTCTTCACAAATTTAATGGTGGTCCAATCCACCACTTTGTGAAGAACCACCTCGGCATACACCATTCTGCAAATGAAGAGAGGTGCTTCATTGCGTTCCACATGCTTGAGCTTGTACAGAAATTGATAAACTTCTATACAGCGTTCAACAGGTGCTCCATTCAGACAATGAGTCAAATTTGCCTTGTCTGAATGGCGATGATATCTGTGGCGCTCAAGCGGAAATTGCTTAGTGATGTAGCACCACTCAATGTACTCCTCGCATGTGGAATATTTCCATGGCTCTAGCTAGTCCTCCCAACCTTTGAATGCCAGCTTTGCGGGGTTGTTCAAAACATGTAGCCGCTTCTTCATCCTCACCTAATGATGAAGATATTGTCGTGAGAGCACCATCGGAAACGACCGGTACTCGCAAGAATCCAAGACGGTTCAGGTCCACTAGGGAAAAGCATTGATATGGAATTCAACATATTACAATTAGAAGTTTAATAGATATAGGGTTTGATATCTATTTAAATCAATGTCCATAAAACATTGACTAATGTTATTGAATGTATTTTTCCATAAACATGTATTGAAATTTGGTTATGGTCCATGGAAGGCATGCCTCAAAAAGCATGAAAGTTCTGTCTCATTCTCCTAGGTTCTGGCGCGCGCGCCCCATCCCACGTGCGCGCCCCCGACACTCGCGCCCCCCAGATGCTCGCGCCCCTCCATGTCAGCTTTATTCCTCAGAATATTTGGTGACATGTCAGACGCGTGGCATCCTAGGTGGATAAGGTAACTCCATTTTAACCCTTCAGATGGTCAACCCTAAGTTGACCCATAACGGACCTCTCATGGACATTAACGGACGGACATGCGGACCGGACGGCACTTCGGACGGGGAGGTCCACTGAACAACCCTGGTTGGATATAGGTTACATGTTTTGTGGAGCAGTTACCCACACCAAACTGTATATCTCTACCACAATGAATACAAAAGTCATCTATGATCAACACAAGATAGACCTAGATGTCGCAATTGTGACAGTATGATCAAGCCTCCTGGTCTTGACCGTCTCTCGACAAAGGCCTTTGAGATGCATGAGTGCGGCGCTTTGTTGCCAGAGGAGGTGATGCGCCATCTATCGCCAACCCCTCGTCTTCAGCTTGTTCTGCGTTACGAGCCTGAAGTTGACAAAACGGGCCTGATATCTGACATCTCTTCGTTGTGGGTTTGACTTCTTTGCCAGAAGCACCAATATTTCTTTGTTCATCTCTATTGTAGTGTGGGGTTTTAAATACTAGCACAGCAACTGCGCTTCCCTTGTGGATGTTTCCTTTGTTCGAAACTGTACCGTCACACAGATCAAGGTCCACACGTTGTAAGAGAAAAAATACCATGTCACGAGTCCAGCCAACCCTAAAACCTTTAGATAACATTGCAAATCAGAATAGGCAATAGTAACATATATTACCTTTAGGTACAACATGATTATGCGAATGCATAAATGACCACTCGTTGCTTCCAATTTGCTGAAACACCTCAATGGATAGAACATTATCCACTTGATACTCTTCTACTCCCCTCAGACACTTCCACGCCGAGCATAACAACCTTACGAAATCGGCATGCTTTCCCTTGGGAAAATGCACCACATTAGAGCAGGAGTTTAAGTGAAACACTCGCTAAGGCTGCAAGATCAGGACGGACCAGTGTCCATCACAAACCCAGGGAACAATCAGTTCCTTTACCTAGTCCTGCACTTCCCGAGGGGGTTGCAGCCAATCCTTCACAAACCTCTCCATAGGAATGCTCCCTGACACCACCGACACCAGGTATGCACACACTCGAGAACTAACAATTTGAATTTCATGTCGGCTCTCTCCCGGATATGCCATGTATAGCCGCGAGAGGACAAAGTCTACAACGTCATTCCCAAGCCGGTTTCTCACTTTTTTTAGGTCCCGAATGGCTATATGTTTCACTTCTACCTCTTTCTCAGAATGGTTGAAGAAAACTGTGCTCAAATTACTAACTGTTCCATCGCCCCTAGTGGGAACTCCCTTTAGCAGCGCGTCTATCCGAAGTTGGTCATACACATCAGTCAAGCTGTGGATCTTGAAGGCGCTTGCATCACTAATGTTGCATTCCTCTGATGCTTTCTGAAGTGTACCATATTGGCAACACTCCACAGATTCGATGGGTACTGGTACGTGTAACACTGAACTAGAGCCCCCTACAACAGTGTCACGACCATCTTGAGAGAGATCCACGAATTATTTCACAGCCTCCCTGTCTCTGTCTTCATCAAAGAACTTCTCTAATTTTTTAGAACAGGAGTCTTTCCTAGGCACAATCGGAGGATCTACATTTCATGTTCCGTGTACTTGGGACACTCTTCGTGGGGGAGTATTTGCCATCAACGATGTTGTGGTGTCCATCCATTGAGAGAGACTGCATTCAAATTCTATCCCTGCTTGAGGCATGTCATCAACACCGTATGCCCCTTAAAAAACTTGTGTGACGGTCAAAAGAGACTCACCATCTTGAGGAACTTCAGCAGCCTCCATTGCATGTTTGATTTCTGGGAATATCAGTGCCGGCCCCTGCTCACTTCCTTGGGCGTCCCCTTCACCATTGCCTTGTTGACTAGGTACTGGTTCCATTTCCTTTGATGTCATGAGCGGCATTTCATGAGAAGGCAAACTTCCAAAACAATTAGTAGATGATAGTGCATGAAGCCCACACCTCAATGGACTCACCTCTCCGTAGGGATTCACCTTGCTAGCGTCCTCTCCCTCCTCAATTTCCCCCTTTTTTAAGCTGGCCACGGTAGCACCCAGTGCTACCGAATCTGTAACACTGGTTGCCTCATCACCGAGACACCGACCTTGAGACTCTACTGGCTCACTCATCAGGGAGAATCTATGCATCACAGTGGATTGAAAGGTACCAGGCACCAGGTTGACTTCGCGGTGCCCTTTGCTCTTTGAGACAGCACCCATCGCGGTTAGTTCCAACGCTGGATTTTTGATGCTCACGTGCTCGACATTAGGCTCAGCAGGGAGAGAGGTCTGAGCTTCTAAAACACTGCCGCTCTCCACGCAAGAAATCCAACGATCATTGTCTTCTTCTCGGACGACTACTGCAAGGCATCGGGCTGCCTTTTGAATATCGTTGTGCAACGTCGCTACTCCGCTGCTCCACGAAGGTGTAATAAGAGATGACACCCATCCAATGTCACGGTCCTCCCTAATTCGTAGAGTGTTATACTAGTGTTTCGATTGATTTCCCCAAAGATAGTAGTGTATCGTGATCCAAGCCTCGTCAAAACACTGTGAATACTCCGCTGCGTGGCCCCGAAGCGCGCGCATCTGCACAACCCTCACCCAATCCATGGCTCCGTCAATGAGATCATCCCCCTTGCCCTCTTGGATTTGTGCAATCTCGATGTTGAGACGATGCCGAAGAGCTTCTTGCGATTCCTCCCCAACTTTAGCAAACAGAAAAGGTCCATAGGCACACAACACCGATAAGGCCTTTGTGATCTTTGTGTCCTGTACACAGGTCTCTCGAATGATAGCAGAAGTCAATCCAAACTTTGGGCATGTTAATTGACGATACATCCCATTCTCATGTAGAAACAAGATCCTCAGCACCAGAATCAAAGAGGTAGGTCTCTTCCATTCAACGCGCTGTTGAAGTAGCCTCCGTCGAACAATTTGGGATTCAGTGATTGCAAAGAACACGGATCCATGGTCAGATATTATATTATTTTGAAAAGCATCTTGGGAATCAATAAAAAATAAGCAAGAAGCTAAGCCAGTGTTACAGTCTAAGCCAGCGTCGCAGACTTAACCAGTGTTACAGTCAAAACAGTTCCTCATTAAAATTCGGCAATTAACACTTACTGTCGAGGCTCCACGGTAGGTGGGGTAGCTTGGCAAAAACCTCCTCATTAGCTGCAAGAACGAGCCAAATCAGACACGAGTCCCATAGAATTTTTTCTCGAAGCATCGCATTTTTCTCTCGAAACTCAATCCGAGCCCTATCTACCATTGCTTTACTCTCATCCTTCATCCTCTGCATGTAGCCCTTGCTCTCTTCTTTGAACCGAGAAAAATCAATCGTCCACTGCAAATATGCACACATTTGTTCGAGCTCAGGGTAAGGTTCATTTGCAACTCTACTTGCCACGAGCTGATCCATGGACGCTGAAATGTCTTCCCGAATTGCTTTAACCTCTTCGCCCAAGTGTTTGTCGCACTGCAAAAGGTTGTCCAACGTTATAGTTAGCACATATCCAAGTAAAATCCCTGTTTCTAGCGCAATGCCATAGGAAATTAGTGAGAAGATACAAAACCAAAAAAATGAAGCTATTGCTCACCTTTTTTGATGTCCACCACCAAAGACACCCCATGAGTTTCTCTTGGAACTCTGGAATTGGGAAAGTTTCCTCCCAAGCACGGCGGAAACCTTCACCACTACTGTGATCTCAAGACCATGGCAGTGTTACAGACCCTTCAAATGCCCGCAAGTCGAATAGTCCCGGCATCCTCGGCTTCTTTGGCGCAGAGGGAGGCGACGCGGCATTCATTTTGTCACCTGCCTTTCTCTTTGCTTGTACAACATAAATCCTCTCCTGGCGATGCAATTCTTCTACTCGAGCATTAAATTGTCCTTCCATGTGCGGGTGATAACTGAATGGCCTCGGAGTGCCTTTGCCCTCTGCCCAGTACTACAACAGCTGCACATTAGCCTCCCAGTTCTCATCCCACATCGCCATCCGTGACACAGCCTCTTCTAATCTGCCCTCACAGTTATCTACCGACCTCAAATCAGGTCATTGAGATCCTCGCATGGCGACATAGAATCCAGCAATGGCCCCACGTTAGCGCCATTTCGATCAGCGTCAATTGGAGCAGTGTCATGGTCTCTAGTATTCAAGGACTCCCATGATCTGCTAGCAATGGTTACGACTTTGAGTGTTCCAATCGCTGCACTCGCCACTTGCTAATTCGTCTGAGGTTGTTCTTGGCCAACCAGAGAGTTAGATGTCAGTCAATTTCTCTACACCTCCTCTGACGCCCATGTTGCCTCGTTACAAATTGGCAAATGAAACCTCTCCTGTAATGTTACACGCAAGAAACTACAAGGCTTGTCCCAGTAACTTACCGAGCACTTGGTCTTTGAAGAAAGTTTAAGTTGCCTTCCTAATTGTAATCATTTTGACACCCTCCTTGAGACATGAACTCTTTGTTGTAGAACTTCTTGTGTACGACCTGCCTCTGGTACAATCTTCAATTCAGGTTGAGCTAGTGTTACAGGGAGGGCAGCGGAAGACAGTGACAACATAGATGTTGGTGGAGGCTGTGTCACGCCACACGTAAGACCTGCATCCAAAGGCTCTGCTTGAGAATTGTGACTGGCCCTATAACGCGCCCGTGTTCTCTTATCATTTTTGCTGACACCGAAACACGGATCAAGATGTTCACCACCATCGTTGCACGGGACCTGTCTTGTTGGCTGCCTCGTCTCCGTGCATCTTGACTCTTACAGGCTTTTGTCACGAGCCATTGCTGTAACCTTCATCAATCCTCGTCCAGTCCCACCCGGCTGCACCACCTTCTTTGAAGGAGAGGGCTCTTCTTCATGGTCGCGTTCTTCATCCGCCTTCTATACAAAAGCGGCGGCCTTTTTACCCTTCTTCCCTTTGAGAATCGCCTTCTCCAACTCTAGTGGTGCTGCCTCGAAGAACAAATCAGATGGCACGACCGTCTCTACCAAATGAGATGCTTCATCCTCTGTAACTCTACCCTTCTGTTTCTTTGATGGAGGCAACCCAACAAAGTGAGCACCCAACTCCTCATCTTCTACAATGGTCTCTTCTTCTTTAATTGGAGTGTTTACAGTTTCACTACAGGACTTCTTCTTGCCCTTCGTACTTGCACACTTCTGCATGCCCTCCACTATCTTCCCTTGCCTCGGAAGAAAGTCGGGATAAGGAAGTAAGAGTGCTTTAATTTCGTCCGGATACTTCGCAGATTCACATCCTTTCTCAAACCTGTGCTGATTAAGCATGAGCTTGTTAGAGAATGTAGACTTCCTGCAGTGAATGCAGATGAAAAATCTTCGTCCTCCTGTGGGCTTCAGGCGGCCTCTGCATTGCGTAGCAAACTCCAGCATAAGATCCTTCATCCGCTGCTCGCTGGGACATATAACACTATAGGTCCGATCATAAATCTTGACGAGCATTGTCACAGGTTCAGGGGCCATCATGTCAGGCGTGTAGGGGCAAGTTTGGGGATAGCAATGTGCACAACCAACGTGAGAAAATGAGATATATCTAAACTTGTTCCACAATCTAGCCAAATTATTGCACCCTTTGCCCGTACAGTACACAGGCTCGTAAAACGAGTGCTCCTCAGGAATGTGAACGTCGTCTCTGCACAACGTCAAGACATAGGCACATTCAGATCCAAGATGGGCCATTGTATTACAGCACTATTCAAGATACATCGATGTGATTGCAAGCAAAATTCGAAAGTAATCAACCCTAGTTGTCTGTCCAATTGTGTGTCAAGGAAGTCGACAACACCTAAGTGACGAAGCTTCGACCGTGAACTATAGGGATGAAGAAGATCAAGAATGTTTTAAATCTGGTCCGTGTTTAAGCACGGAGCTGTGTAAACCCTAAAATGTAAATAGAGAAGCAACACATATACGTCAAGCTGCAAAAGTCTAAACCCAGAAATCGGAAACTCTGAAATTTGAGACTGATGGGTCTCAGAAAATGCTGCAGAAAACTCTCGTAACAACACCCTAAACCCGAAAACGTAACGCAAAAAACAATGACTGAGTTCATGGGAGGACATCTGAACATTAAGAATGACATAAATAAAGAACATAGCGGCATTGAAATCCTTGTCCACCAAGGAGCGAATGAAAATTTCTTTGTGGTGAGTGGGAGTATAGGAGTGGGAAACCTCGGGATTGACCAACATGGAGATGGAGCCGATGAGAGTTTACTGCGCTGATTTTGTGCGACCAAGACTGCATTTTTTAACAAAGTGGCGGCACCCTCACGTTCTAATTCCTGGACAGCCCCTGACGCCCACAACATTGCAGCAAAAGGGAGGAAACATACGCGCTGGAAAATAACCACCATGGCGCTTGCTTCAAAACTTCTCCATTCTACTAGCACAAACTCCCAGCTACAATGTGCTCCTCTGCAGCAAGATGTCACTTCCGTGGAGCTTCTGTTGAGTGCATTACCTGCAATCATTGTGGTGAACCGTAATTCTGGTCGGCAAATTAATGGAGCCCCGTTATCTAACACGTACATTAACGGTACCTCGATCCGCGTTTCGGGACCCAAGGGGATGGAATAGTGCTACCGTGCCCGAGTTACCCCACCTGGGTGAAACCGGACCTGACCGGGCCTGGGTCTCGTGGGCTACAGCGCGTGCGTGGCGAGGGGCCCACCATCGTTACATAACAAATAGCGTTTTTCGGGGCCGGTTAGGGTTTTTGCGATATTTGAAGATCTAATTATTGGAATAAGCTGAAACTTGAGGAGCTCGTAGAAGACCTGAAGTCCAAGAGAATTGTCAAGTTTGAGGAAAAACTAACAGTGATATTGGAAGATCTTGCTCTTGGAAGTTATTCAACAAATTTGGAGGAAATAGAGCAATATCAGTGCAGTTCTTTGACATTTTCTCTTGATCTGTAAGTTGGATTTGATTCAAATTTTGTGAGCATGTAGAAGACTTTAGTTGGCAGCAGTTCAAAAAATTTCACATTACTGTAACAAATTGATTAGAGGCTGTGCATTGTCAAAGTTGTTGATTAGGGTTAGGGTTTGCTACAAGGATTTAAGGTTTGTAAGAAGATGGAAGATACAAATGACAATGAAGCCCTTTTCTTGTTGGTGCAACAACTCACTCATACTATGTAAATGACGTCAACAGGTGACTGGTGGAGAAATCACATCCCTGTACATGTCCACTATGTGGTGTGCCTTAGATTCCAATGTCATGATTGGGCATGACATCTTGGACATGTGGCAGTGCTAGTTGGAGTAACTTCTAATTATGGTGTGAGACATTGCATACACTAGCCTTTATTTGAAGACAAACCCTCTTGTGAAGCTTTGGAGGACTATTTTTGCCTCTGGTCACTTAAACAAGCTCATTTCTGAAGACCTAAAGTTGGCTGAAATCAGAAGTGTTTTGGTTTTTGGTTTGATGGAGGATGAGAAATGTATCTCTTCAATAAAATTTCTCAAATCTTGTCATGGAACAGGTTAGACAAGCATCTACCACTTGTGATTTGTATGTTTAGTCAATCATTCTTCACTCTTGATGATTTTTCTTTATAAAAAGGCAATTGACTCTTAGAAAAACACAGTGAAGAATGGGGGACAAGGAGATCTTTGATCAAAGTGTCTATCAGTATCTTCAAACATTTTATTTTCTTTAGTTTCCATTATGCTAAGGAAGATTTGAAGTTCACTTTGAAGTGTAATTTGATGACCAACTAGATTTTCACAGGCAAATGTGAGATTGAAGAAGCAAATGTGGGATTGAAGAAGGTGTTGCAACCAAACATCAAATGTTTTCTGGAGGAAGCAACCCCAAGGTTGCAAAGGAATGACAAAGAATTATTTTTTAAACAATTTGTATTGTATTGTGTGCAGGACATCAATGCTGCAATGGGTAGTGCTGCTTTGGAGCAAGGATTCAATTCTCTTGTTGATCAACCTTTTTTTATATGGATTTTTCTTAGTTTTTTTTTTTTTTTTTTTTTTTTTTTTTTTCTTTTTCTTTTGTTTGTTTGTTTGTTTTCGTTTTTGTTGCATAAATCTATATTGCAACGATGTAATTTTGTGTTAAATTTGTTTTTCAATTATTCTTGCCAAAGACTTAGGTTGTTTAATGATATCTTTCTCCAAAATTTTCATGAGCAACTAACCATTTTAGGTTCTGAATTTTCATTGGGTTGCAAATTTGTATATCACAGAATTTGAGAAATAGCCATTGTTTTCATGCAAAATATTTCATCATGTTGCAAATGACACTCTCCAGAAAAAGAATTACAGTAAAAAACCAAGTTAAAAAAACAAAATTATCATTTTTATTCTAATAAAGTATATTAATTTCGCTTGAATAGCTGGCATTTCCTACAGCTGTAGCCAACTAATCTACTTTCCACTCCTGGGATCACTGCTGCTGAGACGGTATCCTTACTCCAATATTCTCAGATGTCATTTTAAGACATCGATGGGGATGTGCTTCACAATCAGTTTCCCTCCCGCTGAATCCATGTGCCGTTCAATATCTTGAATCGTTATTCTTTGCCCATGCGCATCATCTGCATGCAGTGCAGTGTTTGCCACACAACGTGAGTGCTTGTAACCTCCAGGCAGCTGCATTGATGGTGCTCTGTTTTGAAACAAACTGGTTTTGTCAAGTACCTTTCTGCAGAGGCGTGGTGGTGAGCACGATAAATATGGACACTTGGCCTTCTTCATCATCAGGGAGGTTTGCACTTCGCTCAACTTTCAAGCTCACAGGATCCTCGCGATGCAGTTCCTTGTTCGGAAACACTCTCACGGGTCTCTTGGATTCACTGCATCACCACGCGACAGCCGAATTGAGAAACAGGGTAGGCTCACCAACAAGTTCAGCTCCGGCACATTGCAGCTCACATGTTGAGAAGAAACCACCTACCTAGGTACCAAGTTGGTCACGCACTTCGCAGACTTGGGGAAGACGACCCGCGGCTCCGCATTTGCCCATCGGTCGGACGTCAACACATAGAAATACCACTTGTTATATGTGATGGACATGCAAAACCTAACTTTCGTGCAGTTCGAAACCTCGTATCCACCCTCTCTGGCATCGCGCTTGCGCCCCACAGGCCTGTCCACTGGCTTCCTCCCAACCTGCTTCTTCGAGTGCAAAGGATCAGTCCAGGCGTTTCCTATCGAGACTTCGACCTTCAAGGACAGGATTTCATCGCTCTCGCTTGCGAGGGTTAGCATCCTCGTCACGAGCTCGTGCTCGTCGTGAGGCAGCTGAGGCGGAGACGCTCTAGGGATTGAGAGGGCGCGAAGCTCTGCTACCACCCCGCCGATGAAGTAGAGCACATCGCGGTCGAGAGTCTCCAAAACCTCGTCCAGCCTCTGGATGATGGCTGCCGTCTCCCTGTTCTGCTGGCTGGCGCCTCTGCCGATGAGGCTCCTTGCCGTCGCCACAAGCAGGTTGCCTGCCTCCCGGCGCTCGTTCGATTTCACGTTGCTCTGCAGCTTCTCCCATGCGAGACAGAGCACCGCTCCGAGATCCTTCAGGTTATCCTCGGGTCCGTTCCAGAGCAGCTGCCCGCCAGGGCCCCTCTTCAGGCGCTGCAAGGAGGATTGCACCTTCACCACCTTCTCCAGCAGCTTGCTCGTCTTCTCTGGCGCGTTCCGCACCTCCCCTCGCGCCTGCAGAATTGCGTCCACCAGGCGCCGCACTAAGACCAGCAACGACGAGGTCGAGTCCAGCCCTGACAGCACAGTTAGAACCTCCATCTCCTCCACTCTTTGCCTGAAACCATCCGAGTTGCAACCCTTGCTGCTGCAAGATTACGTTCCAGCTCCGACCAGGCTGCTTCTGACAATGGAGGTTTCTTGTAAGAGGGCCGAGGTCCTCTGGTGGCTACTCTCCTTCGAGAATGAGAACATCATGCGTTTCCTTGCGCAAATGCGTACACTGTACGTTTCTAGACCATATTTTGGTCATGCGACGTGTGAATAGATGCTGTGAGCACTTTCCGGAAGTAGATTCGCCGCGCATTGATTTGGGCAAGTTGGTTCGGCGCGCACACTGTACATACTAAATCACGCTTCTTCGGACAAGTTCTCGCGCGGCTCTACGGTGGTGTACCAAGGGCATCCGCACCCAGACTCACCAACGGCACTTTTCTGAGCGGGCTCGTTAACTCTTAAACGCACGCGAGGCCCAGTCTGGGCCTCGGATTTCATGTGAACTCAAATTTCACAAAGTAGATGAACTGTGGTTGGAGGGTGCTTCTGGGTGTGGTGAAGCTGGTGTTCAATCGTCTTTGTTCGTTGTTGATTTGGATTCGTGGGTTTGCTTCTTCTTCCTCTTGCTGCCATGTCTACAACCTTGAAACCCTAGTCCTCGGCTCTCTCCATCTTTAATTAAGGAATAATTGATAAGCTGACCCTGCACTCGCTCACCGACAGATTGGTGTCGAGTCAATCTCAGGCCGATTCTAGAAGATAGAGGATTAGGTTATTGATATTGGAAGGAGTTTTCTGGGGGTTTTCGGCTCTAAGGGAATACTAGCATTATGCAACGTTAGACACTGCAACAGACTATGATTTTGCTAGGACGGTTGGAAAGCTGAGTAGAGCGATTCTTACATATCGATACCGAGGCAAATCAATTAAAATTTTGTTTTCAAGATCCTGTAAATGATCAATGAATTGTTTCATACCAAGATTACAAATTGGATGTAGTGAAGTCAGCCAAACAATGATATTGCAAACAGGTGAAGCGATTTTGTAGTGAAATCCGTAAATGAGTAGAGATGTCGAGTCTCAACAATGAATATCGTGAAACCAATATGTGTCCTGAACATGCATTTCTCGTGATCAAATTAGGGCACCTCCCAAAACAGTGCTGTCGAGTTAGCATTTCAGTCCAATTCGAGCCAAGTACTTGAGAGTTGGAAGTTATACGCATAAACGCATATTTGTGGGTTGAGGAAGTTGTACCACATGCACAGATTCTTTTGCATTTCTAGTCAGGATTGAATGATCATACCTTGACAAATGATGATATTCTGAGTTGGTTTTCAGAACAATTATGCCTATTAGGAGTAACTTAGAGGAGAATTGAGGCTCCTGCTTTTCTAGCGGAATGGCTGGCGAGAGTGGTTTGGAGGGCCTGCATGCCATAGCCACCTTCTACGACGAGCTGGGTCTCATCCAGGAAGGTGAAGTCCAGGACGTTGGGAATGGCATGGCGTCGTCGATCACACACGACGACATTATGGAAAGCGTCCAGAGAGCGATGTTGAGTGCTCTGGGAACAATGGAAGGACGTCTAGGATGCCAGGAGCTGGAGGTCATGGAGCAGTTTTGCAGCGAGGGTGGAGACATATCAAGCCAGGTCAAGATTGCGACGTTCCACGCCTTTTGTCACCACACTACCATATTGCAGGCGGTCACGGAAGACTGTACTGAAGCCACTATTGAGCGCAGCGTAATCAAGGCTAACCAGCTGGAGCTTGAAGGCAGCCCCACCAAGGTTGGGTTCCTCATGAAGCATATTTGGTCGATTTTGTGGTTGATTGGGTTGAAGGCGGATGTGAGGCAGTACTATAAGGAAGCAGGGGTGTGGCTGAAAGGCACTCTTTATACAAGTGGTCAACTGACAGGGCTCCGTAGAGGATGGTGCTTTCACCTTCGTTATGCCTTAGGAAACACATTGTATCAAGTAGCATTCAATAACTGCGATGGAAACTCACAGATGCAGAGTGCCTTGCTAAAGATGGCTCTGCCCGAGCTGGTAGCTTGTGCTAGGGAGATTGCGCAGGAGAGTGAATTAACTGTAGATCATCATGAAGATGCGGTATGGGCTCTGACAACCTTTGGCAAGGTGGCAAAAGTGATCATCAAACTGCAACAGGGCTTACTAGAGTTCGGAGTATTTAGGAAGGTGCAGGAGGTCTACAACGAAGTAGCTATATATGCAAGGAAGCTAGGGCGGAAGGACTTGGAACGGCTGCTTTCTCAGCTTTGCTCGGGGTTATCGGCGCTTGAGGAGGTTCACAAGCGGAAGCTTGAAGCGGACAATGACGAGACTGACGAGACTGACGAGGAGCTTGATGAGAAGCTTGATGGTCGCAAATCTGCGGGCGCGGGGTTCAAGATGTTTGTGGAAGTCCTGAAATGTAGTGTGGAAAAACTGAGGATAGAGAGCGATGATTTTTTAGAGAGCTTTGATCTTTTGTCGCATGCCTGCTGGTGGACCAAGGAATCCATGCGCTCTCTGGCGTTTGAGCATTTGACTTTCAGGTTTCAAATGCCTACAGTTGAGGAGCATGTAGAGGCCAAGTTGGAGATATGCATGTTGTTATTAGGGATGGCACTCACGGCTCTGGGAGAGGAGGAGGAGGGACTATACTACCTGGAAATTACTTGTAAAACGTTTGAATCTGATTCCAAATCGCGGGTGTCCTTGCACGACATGCAGAAGGTACTTGCGCGTGCTTATGGGAAAGGACTTCCAACAAAAGACCACCGCAAAGCTGCAGAGATGTATGAAGCTGCCTCAAAGACAGCAAGGGATTTGCACACTCAGTTGGTGATGGACATGGATGCAGCCTCACAGTGGATCAAGGTGCCAGAAGAACGTGTCAGCGGAATGGAGAAAATTCAAGCTGCAATTAAGATGGCATTGGAAATATTTCCTTGTGAATGGGTGCTGCAAGCATTTCTGTTTTTCCAAGCTGGTATGGCTCTCCAAGAATCAGGAGATGAGGAGGGAGCACTTAAGCATATGGAAACTGGGATAAATTTGTGTTTAGCAAATAACTTTTCTTTTACTCCGTTGGATACTGGTAATCGAGGACATGTCATTGAGATTGTTATAGGATTTGCACAACTTTTGGTATTGTACTTGAAGAAGGAAAATCTAGCGGCTGCACTTGCTCTGCACAAGGCAGTGAGTCCAATACTGGTGAAACTGAAATCCATTACTGGTGAGGATAAACTTTGGAAAGACACAGCCTGGCGTATCTGGCAGCAAGCTCTAGAATTGTTCAGGGAGGTCACCGGTACCGAATACCATGTGAATGAAGAATCTTCTAGACTAATTAGCTGGGATATTTCAGAATTGATGCTGGATGAGGATATTGGAGGAGGTTATACATACCGCTTTGCCATAGCTGATCACTTCCAGAACCTCGCCAAAACAGAAGCCGAGAAACACAACTGGAAAGGAGCTGTATATTATTTAAATGTTCTGGAAGAGAAATTACGGCAAAGAGGAGTTTTAGGTAAGAAGGGTGCAGTCATTCTGCATTCGAATCGAGCTAGTTTTTTGCATAGCGGAGGAGATTTCTCGCTGGCTTTGGAAGAGATTCGAAAGGCAACGGACATCATGCAGGATTTTGAGGAGGAAGACCTTATGCTTGTGAGGGTAGTTTACTTCTGGCAATCAAGAATCTTTTGGGATCTCCAAGATGCTGATGCTGCCCATGCTTCCTTGGACAAGGCGGAGAAGGCATGCGTTGGGAATGATTCTAAGTTAAGAGACATCAGATATTGGCGTGGTTATATGTGGTGGAATGGGGGGCAATCCGAGATGGCAGAAGAGTTGGCTCGTGAGATTGCTCTATCGTGTGCGGATGCACAATCAAAGTTGGGAATAGAGTCTGCATGGGTGGGCTATCTAGAGAACACTTCAATGGCGTTGTCTTTTTTTAATGGTGAGACGATATGTCGGAGAAAAAAGGATGCAGTGAAAGCTCTCATTTGGGCAGAGCGGGGTCGTGCGCGTCTCTATATGCATCGTACCAACCAATTGAGCACAAAGGAATTTGACCAAAGTGACCAATATGCTGAGGACATAATATTCAAGTGCATTGAGCTATGCGGTCCAAACACGGTAATTCTAGAGTGTACCATAATGAAGTCTACACTTGTTCTATATGGATTGTTCCTCCATCCCAAGGTGGGTGAAGGATGTTTTAGCCATGATATGAGTTTGGATGAGTTCTTCAAGGTTCCAACAAATTGTGTTGCTGGAATGACACTGGACGAGGTCGTGTTCACGGTGCGGAAACAAATTTGTCGCAGGCAAGATGAAATAGCCATGCTTGGTCTATCCGTTCTCCATTCCATGCTGGTGCAGAGCATGCTAAAGGTGTATCCGGAGGCGATGCGTTTCTGCACCATCATCATCTTTGCCCCACAAGGAAAGCTGCATTTGATTCCTTTCATGGCCCTGTATGATGGATCTGCTAAGAAATTTTTGATTGAGCAGAAAGCAGTTAGTGTCATCCCTTCCATCCGCTCTTTGCACCACTGCTTTGCACGCCAGCAAATGTTAGAGAACAGGTTTCAGGTACTGGATGGTGCATTTATAGCTGGTAATCCAAAGCCTATGGGGGCCGAAAGGCTTCTCCTGAAGCCACTTCCAGGAGCAGCTGAGGAAGCTCAGCAGGTGGCCAAAATCCTCGGTGTCAAACCTTGTAAAGAAGAAAACATCACCAAGGAGGTTGTGGTCAAGGCTCTCGCTACGAACAGTGTTCAGGTTGTGCTACTTGCAACACATGGTCTTACTGAAAAGGATAACTATCCTTCTGGAGCTGTCGTGCTTCGAAGTGCACGTTTGGACAACAATAATCCAGCAACTGGTCTCGACAGTATCTCTCACTCAGGGAACTCAAGCTCACTCTTGGAGCAGCAAGAGGTGCTGACTTCCGAAGAACTTGCAAATATCAAGGGAGGAATTTCAGCAGGCTTGGTGGTGCTCAGCGCCTGCCACTCAGGAGAGGGAGAAGTCTCCCGAGAAGGGCTCCTCAGTCTAGGTCATGCTCTGCTTCAGGCGGGCGCTTCTTCTGCCCTTGTTAACCTTTGGGCTGTCGATGATGGCTCCATGGCGATCCTGATTGCAGACGTGTTCAAGGAGCTGAGAAAAGGAACTAATGTCTTGCACTCGGTGCAGAAGGCAGTGGTGGACATGCT